CTAAACCCTGAACCCTATGATTAAGACCTAAACCTTAAACAGGAGAACTACGGCCTGACCCTCGCAGTCATGGGCCGCTACGATGAGGCACTTGGGCCCCTGCAGCAGGCGGGGTAGAGGCTGTGACTCATGATGCCGATGGCCCGCAAGCCCTGCGCTGAAGTTGGTGAGTGTTCTATATCCCCCTTGGGGTTTTTTTGTTTATATAGAGGACATTTAAAAAAGATATTTTCATTAAGGTTCTAAGGGCAGCAAAGTGTTGTACTCTGCCTGATTGGCGATTTTCCTGCGGAAGACCATTTGGTTCAAAGCGGAGCTTAGCTGAGAAGCCCCTGAAGTAGAGGATGCCAAGGACGGCCATGATGCTGACATCGCTGGTCACGGCAGCGTTGCTTGGCTCAAGGGCGTCGCCCTCTTGCACGGATGACGTGGCCATGTTGCAGATTCACCATGGGGACCATGGCCACAGCGGAGGCTCTTCAAGAAGCTCCCTTGTCCGATGCTTGGTAGCCCGGTGGTACCCTTGTCCATCCTTTTTTTGGGGTTCGAGGTTCCGTCATCAAGGTACAGTGACAGCGCTGGATAAGAAACCTCTAAGTTTTGGCGAGGGTACCCTGGATTTCTTAATCATGAAGCCCACCCAATATCCGGAATTACAACCTCCGCAATGTTGAGGGTACCCTCGATTTCTTAATGTATTTCTTAATGGGATTCGAACTGGTCATGTTCGAATTAGTAAGGCCACGCCTTATCCATTAGGCTGATCGCTCGGGTTCTTAATTGGGTGCCCCACTCAAATAGGAAACGAGGGCTGGATTTCTTAAATTTAAGAAATCCGAGGGGCTGCACTTGTAAGGGGGAAGCATCCAGAAATACCGGGGCTGATTTCTTGAGTTTTTTGGAATCCCTCAAACTGAGGGGCGGCTTGCACAAAAAAACGACCGAATGTAAGACATTTCGGACGACAGGATGAGGGTACCCTCGATTTCTTATTTTCAGTCTTGCTCTCAATTTTCGCATTTTTGTATCCGGGGTCAAGCCGCGAGCATGCTCTTTTCTGAAACCAATGATTTCTTAGTCGGTGCTGTCACTGTAACCAACACCAAAAATCTTTGTGCCTAAATGATGGGTGACTGGGCTACCAAGGATATGTCATTCCAGAGATCCCAGGCACGGCCATGACGGCAGCAGAGTGCAAGAGCATTGTCCATGCCCTCGCAGGCGTGCCAAACTTATCCGAATCTGGCTGTTTGTTCAGGAACGCAAGCTCAGTTACCCTATCTAAACCCTGAACCCTGAACCTTCAACCCTAAACCCTAAACCCTACAAACCTCCAACCCCATTTATTATGAAGATTTCTGGTTGTTACAAGAGCCGAGGAGTGGAAGGACATCGTGAGCTTCATGTGCAGTGAGGCTGATTTTTTGAAGCGCTTGCCGGCGATGTCCAACGGAATCTATGTGTTGACGCACGATAAGGCTATGAAGCTGCCTGGTTTGACGTTAAGGAGCGCGAAGATTGTATAAGTGACCGGAGCAAACTATGTTGTTCCATAACCAAACTTGTAGTATCCAGGTTCTGGCAACTTGTTTCTTGTAAGTTGGTGAACAGCGAAAAACAAAAAAAACCAGGCTATTTTACGACAAAGTGGAGCACCCCAATCCGTGGCACTTCGTCTCATGGCTTCAGTGCAGCTTCTTTGCAGTGCCATCCCTGCCCTCAACTGGGCAGCTGCAACTTGGTAGCCCAGTAGTTGGCACCCTTTTTTTCCCTTTTTTGTTAGGTTCAAGGTCCCCTTATAAAGTAACCAGGAAAGAGCCCAAAATAGGGTGCCCTTGTTTTGTTATGGTTCCTGGGCTAGCAAGGCAAAGCCACTGCGGAAGTGAAGTGACTTTCTGCGCCGGAGGTGTTAAGTTGCAAGGAGCTTGCCAGAATGCCGTGAAGGCAGCCGACATCGGTGCGCTGAAGATCTACCAGACGGCGGGATTTCTGGAGAAGAAGGTTGCACGAGCCGTGCTCAAGCCCTCCCTGAGATCTTTGCGCCGTTCGAAGCTCACGGTGGCCCAGGTCGCGCCCGCACGGACGAAGCCAGAGAGGCACCCGGTTCCACAACGAGCCAAGAAGGCCAGAACGATCTCCACGGCGCAGAGCAAAGCGCAGAGCAAAGCGCAGAGCAAAGCCCAGAGCAAAGCGCAGAGGTCGAGGTCGAAGCTGCAACTTGCCGGCGAGAGAAAGCAGGAGCAGGTGCGGGGATCGGCTGCAAAGGCGCGGAGGCTATTTGTAGGGATTTATATGTTCCCTTAGAGAACCCCCCTTTAATCCCCCCCAAAAGGGCCACCTCTTTCATTCCTAGGTCCTAGGTTACAACCCTAAAAGCCAAAACACAAACCCTAAACCCTAAACCCTATAGCCCTATCTGCTTTAGGTCCTGTAACGCTTGATTTAAGCTTCTCATCCCGAACAGCCATGCATGCAGCATGATGAAAATAAGCCTCTCGTAAGCGCTGTTTGGCATGCCTCTCTTGCATGTCATGCTGTAAGACTGTGGGCTTTGCGACCTGACGAGGTCTCTACAGACCTTACCCCTTTTGTCTGTGCCTCGGACAGCAGCTGCACTACTTACGATATTGACGATGGGTACTGCGATTGTCCAGATTGTTCGGATGAAACTAGCTGGACGTGCGCAACCTGCGGAAACGGTTGCCCGGAGACTTGCGGTGAATGGACACAGTGCGAGAACTTGGATGTATTTGATTGTGCTTCGGGTTCTTGCTCGATTTCCGCAAACTACGTCAACGACTCTTCCTGTGACTGCCCTGACTGCTCAGACGAAACAGACTGGACGTGTGCGACTTGCGGCGGCGGTTGCCCGGAGACATGTGGTGACTACACATTATGCCCCATCATCGAGACCTTCAACTGCTCGACTGGCTGCTCGATCCTCATGAATTCGGTGAACGACAGCTACTGCGACTGTGAGGACAGACCTTCAACTGCTCGACTGGCTGCACGATCCCCATAGATTGGGTGAACAACAGCTACTGCGATTGTGTGGACTGCTCTGACGAGGCTGAGTGGGACTGCAACAGCTGCAAGGACGGTTGCCCAAGTGAATGTGGCGAATTTGCACTGTGTCCTGACGAGAGCTTTACTTGTGACTCGGGTTGCTCGATTTGGGCTGCCTACGTCAACGACACAGACTGCGATTGCCCGGACTGCTCGGACGAAGCAAACTACACATGTGCCGACTGTGGCTGCCCCGAAAGCTGTGGTCACGATGCCGTGGTCTGTGAGCCGGGCAACTTCACGGACTTCTATGACCGTGCACCTGGCACAGAGCCGCCGCCAGCTACCACTTGGAGGCCTGTCCCATCCCCGGAATTGACCCTGCAAAGGGCCTCTCTTAAAGGGATTAAGACGGTCAGGGTAGCCCATCCTGCGAAGCGAGCTGCCCTAGAACCTCAGACACCTAAACATTTAAACCCTAGACCCCTAAACCCTTACAACCGTAAACCCTAAGCCCTTAAACCCTTTTGACCCCAAAACCCCTGAACCCTTGCAACCCTGAACCCTAAACCGCTTGTAACCCAAAAACCCTCAACCCTAGACCCCTTAAACCCTTATAACCCTAACCCCCTAAAGCCTGGGCCCTAAACCCTAAGCAAAACCCTAAACCCTGAACCAAAAAGCCCTTAAACCTTTAGACCCGAAACCCTGAACCCTAAACCCTAAACCCTAAACCCTAAACCCTAAACCCTAAACCCTAAACCCTGAACCCTAAACCCTAAACCCTAAACCTAAACTCTAAACCCTAAACCCAAAACCCCAAACCCTAAACCCTAAACCCCAAACCCCAAACCCTAAACCCTAAACCCTAAACCCTAAACCCTAAACCCTAAACCCTAAACCCTAAACCCAAAGCCTGGGCAGGATTGGTGTCGACTTCTACATCTGCGACCCGGGCGATGGCTCCTTAGCGGCTCAGGTGCCCGAGGGGTCCTTGGAAGAGCAGATCGAAGTCTTGAACCGCGCCTTGGGCTTGGTTGAGGGTTTGGGGTTTAGGGTTTAGGGTTTAGGGTTTAGGGTTTAGGGTTTAGGGCTTGGTTGAGGGTTTGGGGTGTGGGGTTTGGGGTTTGGGGTTTAGGGTTTGGGGTTTTGGGGTTTGGGGTTTAGGGTTTGGGGTTTGGGGTGTAGGGTTTTGGGTTTGGGGTTTAGGGTTTGGGGTGTAGGGTTTGGGGTTTAGGGTTTGGGGTTTAGGGTTTGGGGTTGTAGGGTTTTGGGTTTGGGGTTTAGGGTTTTGGGTTTGGGGTTTTGGGTTTAGGGTTTGGGGTTTAGGGTTTAGGGTTGAGGGTTTGGGGTGTAGGGGTGTGGGGTTTAGGGTTTTGGGTTTGGAGTTTGGGGTGTAGGGTTTTGGGTTTGGGGTTTAGGGTTTGGGGTTTGGGGTTTAGGGTTCGGGGTAGAGTGTTTATGGTTTTCCTAAACCCTAAACCCCAGTAAAGTACAATCTGAACTGTACAAAATACAAGTTCTAACCACATAGGCGTGTCTGCACCGGCTGTTCGCTTGTATTTTGATACCGGGACGGTCTCGTTTACATATTTGTTTTATTCCGTTCCCAGCGCCTTACTTAGAAGGATTCCTGCTTCTCCTATCTTCGGCACCCTCTCTCGCTCTATCTCGTCTATCTCCTGAGATGGTGCGACGTCCGAGGAGACTTTGCTGGGAAAAGCAGCTGTGGCCCGGAGATGGCATATACGCCTGAGTTTGCAGACGGCAACTTCCTCTTCTACCGCAGGAAGACTGTGTCTTGATCCCGAGGGCGATGGTGTTTGCTTTCCAGTTCCTAATTCCTTCGAAGTCGTTCGCTGCGAACCGTACACCGTAGATCCGACAACGTTGATCTCCGAAGTCCCTGTGTGGGCAGATGACTATCGTCTGAGCAATGAGGTACTAAGAGGAGGGTTTCGAGTTTCGGGTTTAGGGTGCCCTGAGCCTTTGTCCGAGGTGACGCTCGCGGATCCACGATGCGAGGATGGGCCCAACGCCGAGTTCGACGACTTCTCAGAGTTGCTTATGGAGGATGGCATCGTGAAGACTGTGGTTCCTGGGACTGTCAGACCGTGTGATAAGTACCAGGATAGGCTAGGGTTTAGGGTTTAGGGTTTAGGGTTTAGGGTTTAGGGTTTAGGGTTTAGGGTTTAGGGTTTAGGGTTTAGGGTTTAGGGTTTAGGGTTTAGGGTTTAGGGCTAGGACCCCCAGAATTGCCCCAGCATCAACCCAACAATTTTACTGTGCTGTATGGGGTCTCATACCCTGAGCCCTAAACCCCCAAAACCCATCGGAGCCCTAACTCCTAACTCCCCTAAACAACCCATCCTTTAGGATTTAGGGTTTAGGGTTTAGGGTTTAGGGCTTAGGGCTTAGGGTTTAGGGTTTAGGGTTTAGGGTTTAGGGTTTAGGGCTGAAACGCCCGACAGCGACAGCCTCTGGTTGAACCGGCTCTTGGGTCGAGCGTGCTTCGGGGCTGGCAGAAGAACCTCTTTCTATTTTGCAGGTTGCTATGATTGAATAACACCTCTCATAGGAATCTTACAGAAGCCTGCAGACATTTAGGTTGTGAGGTCTTCAGCTTTCCCCCACGGTTGAAAGACGCAGGGTCCCCAAAGATGTGGGCCTATCAGGTTGGACTGCAAGTGAACCATGATGCTCCTATATTTGGCTACGCTCACTTCCCGGATGGACGTGCCTTCCGCCATATTTGGCTGGATGCGGGCGTTTTGCCAAGAGGGAGCACCGAGCGCTTTAACCTCGGAAAAGTTCTGACTCACGAGATGGGCCACTATTTGGGGCTCTTTCATACATTTTCGGAGTCCGAAGAAGAGCGCTGCGCAGAGACGGACTTCATCAAAGACACGTCAAGGGAGGCTTTCCCCAACTGGGCTTGCCCCAGCATTCGTTCCACGTGCGGTTCGCGGGACCCTGTCCACAACTTTATGGACTACAGTGACTGGGATGCCTAGTAGTACCCTTGTTCTTTTTAGGGTTTATTAGGTCAGGGGAACCTATGAAAGAAAACGCCCTCAGGCGCAGACTCTTGCATATGCAGCTTCACCACCCAGCAGAGTCAGCGGATGTGGTGGGCACTCAGGACCCTTCATAAGCCCTAAACAAACCCAGGGGGTCCATATGTAGTACTATTATGGAGTTAGGTACCCCAAAACCCTATTTAGTAGGGTTTTTGGGTACCTAATTCCATAATAGTACTACAAATGGACCCTCTGGGAAAGCCTTAATAAGGGGATGCAGGCCAGTCGCACCTGGTGCCTGATGAACTCTGAGCTCAGGACCTTCCAACCAGATCTCACACAGGAGGTTGGTGTGCCAGTCGCCAACCCGCAAAACCTACAACAGCCGGTGAGTAGAGGGGCAACCACACTCTACGTGCAGAACACTCAGGGCCACCTGGCTAAAGACCACCCCCCCAATTGGCCCCCAATCATCATCAGGGGCAGTTCTCTAATGAGGTTCCCTGTTTAGAATGCAGCAGCCTTATCATATATGTGGGTGTCAAAATTATGATCCCTTTTAGGGTACCCCAAAAATTAGGTGCCGTATTATAGTAGGCATCCAAAACGGGACCATCTGTTTGACAACCACCCATATGGACCGCCACAAGGGCCCAGGGTAGAGAAGTGCCAATCATACATCCCTGCCGTCATCTGGAAGTCTCCCGACGGCCTACCCCTAAACCCTAAACCCTAAACCCTAAACCCTAAACCCTAAACACAGAAAAGCAAGTCCTTGCGAGTAGCCCAGGCTTCGTCGTGAACGGCGCCCTGCGCATCGGAGATACCGGAGCCGAGATCAAGGTCTTTGTCATATTGGAGTAGCATCTTACATTCTTAAACCCTAAACCCTAAACCCTGAACCCTGAACCCTAAACCCTCAACCCTAAACCCTAAACCTTAAGGGCACTTAAACTAAATAAGGAATAGAAGCCTAAGTTTTTTTCATACTATCCCGACCTTGAACTAGAGGTCATCCGAGACATCGGCACAAGCCTTGCTCAGTGGCCCTACAAGCCCAGCTGGCGCAGCTGGTGGAAGAGGAAGCCCTGGAAACGCTATCCGGGCCCGTGGTGGCTTCCGAGGCGCCAAAAAGTGGCCAAAAACCCCTAAACCCTAAACCCTAAACAGTGCTATTCGCTTCTATGAGGGTTCTAGCTTCGGTCTTCGTCCCTGCCGATCATCTTTCAAACGTTCGCATCAGTCTTCATATACCCACACCAGGTACCATGCTGGTCCTGGGAAGTGTCAGTATCTGTTGACAAGCGTATGTAAAGTAGGGGCATGGGTGCTCGAAGCGGTGCTGGTTCAGGTCCAATTAGCCATGTCTCACCGCACCCTAAACCCTAAACCCTAAACCCTAAATCCTAAACCCTAAACCCTAAACCCTAAAATCTCAAGTCCCTGAGGAGAGGTGGCAAAGGAACTTCCGGCACTCAAGACGGGCCCGACCCCAATGCCACCGTTGCCATCACCTTCGCCCCCCCTGCGTACACTGAGTCTTGGTAGCCCAGTGGCACCCTTTTCCTCCTTTTTTTGGGGGTTCAAGGTTCCCTTATAAAGTACCCAACCCAAAAAAAGGGTGCCCTTATGATAATAGCCCAGTGGTACCCTTTTCCTTTTTTTTTGGGGGGGGGTTCAAGGTTCCCTTATAAAGTAACCAACCCAAAAAAGGGTGCCCTTATGATAATATGGCTCCTGGGCTACTTAGGACCTCTCTGCTCTTTTCCCTTTTTGGGGGTTCAAGGTTCCCTTATAAAGTAACCAACCCCAAAAAAGGGGCCCTTATGATAATATGGTTACTGGGCTACTTAGGACCTCTCTGCTCTTTTCCCTTTTTTGGGGTTCAAGGTTCCCTTATAAAGTAACCAACCCCAAAAAAGGTGCCCTTATGATAATATGGTTACTGGGCTACTTAGGACCTCTCTGCTCTTTTCCCTTTTTGGGGGTTCAAGGTTCCCTTATAAAGTAACCAACCCCAAAAAAGGGGCCCTTATGATAATATGGTTACTGGGCTACTTAGGACCTCTCTGCTCTTTTCCCTTTTTGGGGGTTCAAGGTTCCCTTATAAAGTAACCAACCCCAAAAAAGGGGCCCTTATGATAATATGGTTACTGGGCTACTTAGGACTATAAAGTAACCAACCCCAAAAAGGGTGCCCTTGTGATAATATGGTTCCTGGGCTACTTAGGACCTCTCTGCTCGTTTCCCTTTTTGGGGGTTCAAGGTTCCCTTATAAAGTAACCAACCCCAAAAAAGGTGCCCTTATGATAATATGGTTACTGGGCTACTTAGGACCTCTCTGCTCTTTTCCCTTTTTGGGGGTTCAAGGTTCCCTTATAAAGTAACCAACCCCAAAAAAGGGGCCCTTATGATAATATGGTTACTGGGCTACTTAGGACCTCTCTGCTCTTTTCCCTTTTTTGGGGTTCAAGGTTCCCTTATAAAGTAACCAACCCCAAAAAAGGTGCCCTTATGATAATATGGTTACTGGGCTACTTAGGACCTCTCTGCTCTTTTCCCTTTTTGGGGGTTCAAGGTTCCCTTATAAAGTAACCAACCCCAAAAAAGGGGCCCTTATGATAATATGGTTACTGGGCTACTTAGGACCTCTCTGCTCTTTTCCCTTTTTGGGGGTTCAAGGTTCCCTTATAAAGTAACCACCCCCAAAAAAGGGGCCCTTATGATAATATGGTTACTGGGCTACTTAGGACTATAAAGTAACCAACCCCAAAAAGGGTGCCCTTGTGATAATATGGTTTACTGGGCTACAAAGGACTTCCCCAAACCCTAAACCCTAAACCCTAAACCCTAAACCCTAAACCCTAATGATACTATGGTTTACTGGGCTACTGAGGACTTCCCTGCTGGCAGTGTCGTAGTGCCTTTGGGAGCCTAGCATGGCTTGAGCTTTTCCGAAGCACAGCGCAGCTTCATCCCACCTAGCTGCCTGCGTACCTCGTAGGGTTTAGGGTTTAGGGTTTAGGGGTTTAGGGGTGTAGGGGTTTAGGGGTTTAGGGGTTTAGGGTTTAGGGGTAGAGTCGGTAACCTTTAACCTTTTTGGGGTAATAGAATCCCCTCATAATCGTAAAGGTTAGCCTTTAGTTCCCCCAAGGGAAGCCTCTGCAGGGGTACAGGCAATTCGTACGATGGAGGTTTTTGTGTCCCGGAAAGTACCCCTGATAGAGATTGCCCTTCTAGGATTCCCAGAATCAGGTTGAAGCCAACGGCTGGCGTTGAACGCAGTAGGCTGCCAGAAGGATTGAGTTCCGAGAGCTTTTGTAGCATGTTGTATGGGTGACAGGTAGGATGCAGGCCTGGGGGAGACCTGCTGCGCCATTTTGACTGTGGGCCAGTATATGGCTGTTTAACAAATGGTCCCTGATGAGTTGTCGTGGGAATGATTGTCACAGTTCGACACGAGTTAACCCTTAGGGTAAAATTGTGGGACCAAATGCATTTTCCCGGCAGTTTTGTGCACTAACCTTTTAAAGCCCCAGAAATATGCAGGGCTAAGCGGCATGCTGTTTTGGGGAGTCGTGTTATGCGACAACGTATACTTTGCCATTTTGTCGCAGTGTCCATTGATCAATATTGTTTTATGCCTCTTGAACCCCAAGTTCAGTATGAGGATGCAATTTCTGCATAAGTTGCTCACGGCGTTGAATAGCTTCGCCGACATCCATCATTTTCTGCCCGGGGCAAATTGACATTACTTTGCGATTTCAGTCCGGCTCAAACAAGCAGTTGCTTTTTTGCCTTTGGCGGTTCAGCTTACCCGGGCGTGCTTGGCGCTAGCTTCATTCAATGTCCAGGTCGCTTCTTCGATTCGAGCAGGAAAAGCACCCGCAAATCATGTGTGACATTGCCGAGCTGTTGCCCTAAACCCTATAACCCTAATAGTTACTTCCGGAAATGATAGTCCCTGCTCTTGTTAAGAAAACCCCTAAACCCTAAACCCTAAACCCTAAACCCTAAACCCTCATGGTTACCCCAAGAAAGGATGCCATATCAAATGGCCCTGGGACTGGAAGATTTCGAGGCAGTGGAGCTCGGCCGCGGCGAGTCTGCAGACTTGCACAATGGGCCGGGGCCCTACTGAGGGTTGCCCTAAACCCTAAACCCTAAGCCCTAAACCCTAAACCCTAAACCCTAAACCCTAAACCCTAAACCCCTTAGGTTCCAAGTTAGGCATAACGAATTTCGGGTTTAGGGTTTTGGTGTTTGATCAACAAAATTGGAGGCTTTAAAACGCCACCTTGTAGTGTCGAGGGCATTCTATTATGAGAGGCTTTCGAGGGGATACTAAGTAGACTTGCTAGGTCAAAAAAGAGGCTTCCACGTGTTCCAAGCCATTCTGGTGCTTTTAACAGACCATCCTGGTCCTCTCCAAGAAAGCAAACCACCAGACAAGGACCAAAACCCTAAACCCTGAGCCTTAAACGTTAAACCCTAAACCCTCAACCCTCAACCCTCAACCCTAAACCCTAAACCCTATCAAGATCTATCTTAGCCCAGGCTTGGCGCCATCTACTTTTCCCAGGGAAAGCTGCGAGAGGCATGCGCCGTTTGCAGCCCCTGGGGACTCCAGTTGCCTGCAAGAGATACTTCTCAGAGTTTAGGGTTTAGGGTTCAGGGTTTAGGGTTTAGGGTTTAGGGTTCAGGGTTTAGGGTTTAGGGTTTAGGGTTTAGGGTTTTGGGAGTACGAATAGGAAGCCGAACACGAGTGTAAGGAATGTTTTGAGTGAACAGGTTTTTGGGGTCTCCGGGTAGGTGGTTGCCTAAGCTGTTTTGTTTTTGGATTTGGAGCCTCTTCTCTTTACAGCAAGAGGCTCCAGCAACCCAAGTAAGCCCGGAATCCGCAACGCCTGCTAGACCCTATGACAGCCTGACCCCCACAAAGCTGCCGAACCCTAAAGCCTAACCCCCACACCCTAATCTCTAAACCCTAAGCCCTAAACCCTAATTAAACCCCCAAGCCCTAAACCCTAAACCCCAAGCCCTAAAAACCCGAAACCCCTGGCCCTAAACCCTAAACCCCAAGCCCTAAACCCTAAACCCCAAGCCCTATAAAACCTTTGAGACCCTGAAGGCGAAGTCTCATTTCAGGAAGGCCGTCGAGCGCCGACCCTGTCAGTGTTTTGAGTTAGGGTTTAGGGTTTAGGGTTCAGGGTTTGGGGTTCAGGGTTTAGGGTTCAGGGTTTAGGCTTTAAGTTTGGGGTTTCGAAGTTTGGGTGTAGGGTTTAGGGTTTAGAGGGTTTATAGGGTTAACGGGTTTACAGGGCTTATAGGGTTTATGCGGGTTATAGAGTTTATAAGCTTTATAGAATTTATAGGGTTTATAGGGGTTATAGGGTGTAAAGGGTTTACCGGATTTACAGGGTTTATGGGTTTAGGGCTTGGGGTTTCGGGCTACTCGCCGCGCAGAGCGGACACGGCGCCCTGACACACGCAGGGGTGTCGCGCGGGGGGCGGGGGGGTGGGGGGGGGCGGCGGCAGATTTCGCGAAGACTCTCTGCTGAATTCTGTGGGCGAAAGATAGCAACAGCCATGACTGAGGTGTTGTGAAGGGCTGGGTGTAATTCTAGGTACCTAGCCAGGCCAGGTGGGAACTTTGATGACTTTGGGGTTTGTAGGGTCTAGGGCTCACGATCTGGGAGATTTTGGGAGCTTGACCTTTTGCCAGTGAGCCGAAGTGTTTGCATGCAGGACAAGAGGTTTGAGGCGCTTGTGCATGGGTTTTTGTATTCGGTTCCGTTATTTCCCTTAGACAAGTTGTACACCAAACAGAGCAGGCCGCAATACAAGAGAGACTTGCAATGTTTTCCAAAGCTGACCATACGCGATGGGGTGAGTTGGGGTCCAGAGCCCTAAACCCTAAACCCTAAACCCTAAACCCTAAACCCTAAACCCTAAACCCTTCAGGTTGAAACCTGGTTGGAGAGATGCACAGGACAACCTGGATGCCGCAGCGGCCCCAAAGCTCGCAGGATTTCAGCTCAGGGGTTGGGACGTGTTGGGGTGTTTCCCCGGTATACTAGCAGTCCTGAAGAAGGATTCTAGTACCCCCCCCCCCCCTTCTAATCCCTATTAAGGACAGTTAGTAAAATTATACTAGCAGTCCTTAAGAAGGATTCTGGTACCCCCCCATTATAATCCCTATTAAGGACTGTTAGTATAAGTGGGGAACATCCCAACTGTTATGGTTCGCTGGACGACGGTCGAGGATAGGAGCCGAATGTCCTACAAGGTCACAGCCGAGCTGAAGAGATCCGCGGGCAAGGAGCAGCCGCGGAACAAACGGCAGCAAACCGGACAAAGAGCGAGTGCCCCTTTGCCTTCGTAGTAGAGTAGGTAACCTTTAACCTTTTTGGGGTAACAAAACCACCTTTTTGGGGTAACAAAACCACCTTATAATCCCAGAGGTTAACCTTGAGTTCCCCTAGGTACTGGACAACTAAGTTGCTTTGCCCGCTCAATTGGTCTTTGCCTGCTTGTCGTAGCTGCACTCGGCACCATCTTAAACGGAAGAAGTCGCTGCCCGCAGAGTCGAACACGTTGCGAAGCTACCTCAGGAACCCAAAGCCTAATTTCCTTCCTTTTGTCGGATCTGATTCTGAGGTGGTCCGCATATCAGGGTTCGTAGGTCGCCTGCGAAAGGCGATGTGGGCTTTGGACGCCGGGGTTCTCATCTACCAATTGCTTAAGAACTCCCCCCCCCCAAAAAAAAATGAATGTTCTTCCTTATAAGGGTAATGTAGGGATTACTGTACCCTAAACTCCCTAAACCTTAAACCCTAAACCCTAAGCAAATGGTTCTCATGGTCAGCCCTGCGCCGCCAGGGCTCTTCAAAGCCAGAAGAGAAGTTGGACCTGGACGAGCATGAAAAGGCCCTGTCCTGCCGGGTCCAGGGTTTACGGTATCGAGTGTGGGGTTTTAGGGTTTTAGGGTTTTAGGGTTGTAGGGTTTTAGCGTTTTAGGGTTTAGGGTTTTAGGGTTTCAGAGTTTTGGGGTTTTGGGGTTTTTGGGTTTTAGGGTTTTAGGCTTTCAGGGTTTCAGGGTTTCAGGGTTTAGGGTTTGAGGGTTTAGGGTGCCCTTTCAGTCCAATCGGCTTACCAGGATCTACACATCGTCTAGCCCTAAACCCGAAGCCCTAAACCCCTATAAATGAGCCCTAGGGCTTTGGGATGCCAGGTTTGGTGAGTCTCAGCCCCCTTCTACTCGCGCAGAGATATTGTGCAGCATTCCTGCGGTTGCGGCTCCCTAAATGTCTACTTGGAGGTTATGGTACTCCTTAACCCAATAATAGCTGCACTTATCCCAATTTTGACCATATTAGGGCACTTAAGGGGCTTCCAAGTGGGCTATAAGTACAGTTTTAATTGGTTACTAAGTACCATGAGCCTCCAAGTAAACCCAATAGGTACTAATCGTATTCCCTTGTGGTCCCTTGATCATACTAGAGCAACTCCCCCCCCCCCCCCCCCAACCCGATTCTGATACTTAAGACCCGACATCCCTAAACCCTAAACCCTAAACCCTAAACCCTAAACCCTAAACCCTAAACCCTAAACCCTAAACCCTAAACCCTAAACCCTAAACCCGTGTCCTGGCCCCGAAGGCGCTTCTTCAGGAGGTCTTGGACCGATCCCCCGGGGTTTCCTGGGATGCGATTGCAGGCCTGGACGAGGTGGGCATGTTTGGATGGCATTTTTTTTTTTTTGGGGGGGGGGGGGGGGGGGGGGGGGGGGGGGGGGGCGGGGGGTTTAGGGTTTAGGGCTTAGGGTTTAGGGTTTAGGGTTTAGGGTTTAGGGTTTAGGGTTTAGGGTTTAGGGTTTAGGGTTTAGGGTTTAGGGTTTAGGGCATTTTTGGGGGATGTGGAATCATTTTGAGGCTCAGGGCTTGATTTTCGATGTGTAGGATTGTAGGGTTTTGAGGATAGTAATGGAGCTGCAAAATCCAAGCAGGAGGCAATTCGACTAGGCGCACCTCACATGCCAGGCTACCAAACGTAGCAGCCGCAGCTGCTGTGCTGTGCAACGAAAGAACAGTTGCGTCCTGGTTCGTAGCAGCGCCAGCCTCCTTACATCCCCCTATATAGCCCTTTCGAGAATTATAAGGGATTATGCAGGCTACCTGCGGCTACCTGATTCTCCAAGTCCCTACTGAGCTGGTAAGGTTCGGTAGGGCTACACCTGGCAGGTCAAGCGGCTATTCTACGAGATTGTGGTGGCGCCGGTGCGCCCATGCAGAGCAGGGTTTGGGGTTTGGGATGGTTTGGGGTTTCGGGTGTATGGTGCCCGTTTGTACCTTCCATGGGTGCTTGCGCCCTAAGCCACGCGAGCGGCAGTGACAGGTCAAGAACCCACTGCTGTTCTCTGGCGTTCGGAGCCCGCCAAAAGGCGGGCAGGATCCTGTCAATGCGCCCCCCGGGACTTTGAGCTCAAGGGGCCCGCAGGGTTTGAGGATTCAGATGCGGAACGTGCTCCAAGCCACGCTGCCTGTATTGCTCCTCAACCCCATGTACAACAGAACCCCATGCAGAAGAGAACCCTGTGCCAGCCTCTTATATGAGCCCAAGAGCTGAAGGCGTGCTGCTTTTTGGGCCACCTGGAAATGGCAAGACGATGCTGGCCAAGGTGAGGTGTGGAAGTGGTGGGGGGCGGCCGACCCCTAAACCTTAAACCCTAAACCCCAAAACCCGGCGGGGGGGGGGAGGGGGGGGGGGGGGGGGGGGGGGGGGGGGAAGGTGGGGGGGGAGGTGGAGGGGGGGGGAGGGGGGAGGGGGGGGAGGGCCAGGGGGTGCCGCAGCCGATCATTCCAAGTAGCCGTCCTTTCAAGGGGGTCTCTGAAGTGGCGTTTAGGGTTTAGGGTTTAGGGTTCAGCTAGGGCTTGAGGGGCTTAGGCATTATAGGTATACCCCTTCAGGAATTTAAGGGGCTTTGGGCACTGGTCTGCTGTTTTGGGGGGGTTTGGGGTTTGGGGTTTAGGGTTTAGGGTTTAGGGCTATACAGACAAAAGTCCAAGGCCCAGCATGTAAAGGGCTTGAGGAATCCTGGTAGGCAAGACAAGCGGGTTAGGCAGGGCTTGGCCTGAGCCACTGGTCCGCTTCAGGCTCTGGCACCGAGTTTAGGATTTTGGGCTTAGGACGTGGGGTTTAGGGTTTGGGGTTTAGGGTTCAGGGTGTGGGGTTTAGGGGTGTGGGGTGTGGGGTTTAGGGTTCAGGCTGTGGCACCAAAACCCTGAACCCCTTAAACCCCTCAAGCTTGGGATGTTCCCCCTTCTACTAACAGTCCTTAAAAGGGATTACAATAGGGGGTACTGGAACCCCTACGCTGGGCTGTTAGCATAAGGGGGAACATCCCAACCCTAAGGCCCTTAAACCCCCTAAGACCCAAAACCCCTAAACCCCTAAACCCCTAAAACCCCTAAAACCCCTAAACCCCTAAACCCCTAAACCCCTAAAGCCTAAAAAGCCTCTGGTCCGCTTCAGGCTGTTGCCAGCGAGTGCAACGCCACCTTCTTTAGCATCTCTGCCTCATCTTTGACCTCGAAGTGGGTTGGCGAGCGGGATGCCCTGGCGATTCCATCAGGGAGTTGAGCTACACTGTGGTGGGCCCTCCAGGGAGGGTGTAGGGTTTAGGGTTTAGGGTTTAGGGTTTAGGGTGTAGGTATATTCAAGATGTTCCTCATGTATGGTTTAGGGCTTAGGGATGTTTCGCACATGGTATACCAGTATAAGAGCGCATAGATCAAAGCCCTGGGATCGTTTGCTCCGCAATGGGTTGCAACTGGCGGATTCAGACGGAACTCTGTTTGCTAAGGTCGGAGAAGCACATGCGAGCTCTGTTCAGCCTGGCTAGGCTGGAGCCTCGTCCACTCCAACAACCCCCCCTAGACGCGACTGTCGCCTGCACCTAGTTGCTGACAGTCTGCGACTCTGCAGGAAGATGCAACCTGCAGTCATCTTCATGGATGAGATTGATTCCATGCTGACCAGCCGGTCTGCCGGCGAGCATGAGGCAACACGTGGGGGGAGCAGAAGCTTTCGTGCTTCTGCCGTGTCTAGGGCTGAGGGGTCCACATCTAGTTTCCTGCTCTCCGTTTGGCCTCTCCGGGCTTTCAAAACCCAAGCCAAAATCGGGTGCTCTGCTTCCATTTGCAGGCGGCACGCCGCCTGAAGACAGAGTTCCTTGTACAGTTGGACGGTGCTGCTTCAGGCGGGCAAGTTGCAGGGGTTTAGGGGCTCAGGGGTGTAGGGGTTTGGGGGTTTAGGGAGTTTAGGGTGGAGCGTCTACGGGCTCAGGGTCTAGGGAGGAGGACTTGTTAGCCCAGTGGTGCCCTTTATCCTTTTTTGGTTTTGGGTTCCCTCAGTAAGTCGCCAACCCCAAAAGGGGTGCCCTTCCTGTAATATGGCTATTGGGCTACCAAGACGCAGTCCCCAACCCACGGTTGGTAGGCTCCTGTGCCAAGAATCTGCGGGGGTGGGAGGGCGGGGGGCCTCAATTGAGGCCTCTCTTGGGGCCCTGAAAAACAACACGTGCCCTCACATAAGGGGGCCAAAAAGCAGATCCAGTTGAGAACAGCCCCTAACCTCAGGGAAGCTACTGGTATAGGGCTTATAGGGTTTTGGATTTAGGGTTTAGGGGAGTGGGCCTTGCCCTCAAGCCCAGAGCCCCAACCTTAGCCCCAGCCCGCGCCAGGTGGTGAAGACCGAGTTCTAGTGCTTGGAGCCACCAACAGGCACTTGCAAGGATGGGATTCTTGATATATTACAGTATCTGATTGGCAGTAAAACATATTTGTGTGCTAATATTATTGGATTGTTTTCCGATTTTCATATTTCATTCTTCTATCTTTCGATTATTCCATGATTTTATGATTCCATTGTTGGATTAGCTGGTGCCCCTGTCGGACTGCTGTGGATGACACTTGCGCTGGGCACATCCTGAGCAGCCAGAGCGTGTAGCTCGCTGAGCTTGAAGGTATGGTCGAGGACGGATTAACTTCTGACACGTAGGCCGCGGACAGGGTTTGGTATAATCGCCCATCCTGGTTTGAGCAGGATGCCTGTCATCGTAGTAGTAGTAGTAGTAGTAGTAGTAGTAGTAGTAGTAGTAGTAGTAGTAGTAAGCAAGCACGTCTGCCTTCCAGCATGTAGTTAGCGCCCAGCACACCGGCGCTCCCGACGTCGGATGGCGCAGCTTTCTAGACGTGCTGGGCGCGCATGCTGGCAACATGCCGCGACCTCTGTGATAATGTGGGGGGGGGGGGGGGGGGGGGGGGGCATGGTGTTTGTAATGGGTAAGAGTAACTTTCATTTTTCATAAGGGCCCCTCATGTGTGGGGGGGGGGGGGTGGGGGCAGGGGGAGAGGGGGAGGAAGGGAGGGGGTTTTGGGTTTCCGGTTTCAAGTGCAACTGAGGCTGTCGCTAGCAGCTACAGCACCATTGAACCTCTCCGAGGCATCGAGCGTTTGGGGTTCTTGGGTTTGTTGGTGGCTTCAACTAGATTTCAGTGGTTTACACTCCTTGAACACCGGTTCCCCCACATATTTCCAAGGGTCCCTACTATCCCCAAAGAGGGCCCCAAATAGGAGCCCATTCTTAAAACCCTTGATGTAGGACATTTAGACCCTAAACCCTAAACCCTAAATCCCAAACCCTAAACCCTAAACCCGAGGTTGCTCCTGGGAGTCCCCAGTTGGGTTCGGTGGGTTCGGGAGTCGTACCTGGGCCTCAGCAACGACCGGCAGTATCCCCCTTGGGTAGGGTCGTCTATTTTTCGTCGGCTCCCTTCTGTGGTCCCTATTTAGAAGGTATGTATGTATATATATATATATATGTATCTATATATATATATATATCTATATATATATATATATGTATATATGTATACATATATGCATATATGTATATGTATATATTATATATCTATGCATGCATGTATATACATTTAGATTCACAGATAGCAATTAGGGAGAACTACCCATACGGAGAAACTCAAAACTACCTGATATAGACATTCCAATTGAATTGCCCCGGTGTATTACTTGTGGATGACTTTTGGCCTCAGTGTTCTGAGGGTTTAGGGTTTAGGGTTTAAGGTTTAGGGCTTAAGGTGGAAGATTGATCTCTTAGGCGCCGATCTCAGGGTTCATAGGAGTGAATATGTTCTCCCTGTAGTCCTGAGAGCCCTGAGCCCTAAACCTAAGCTACTACTTGCTTAAGAACCCCAAAAAATGAAAAACCAAAAACAAAAAAACTTCCTTATTCAGAGTAATGTAAGGATTATTTATTTTTATTTTATTCTTTTGGGTTTTTTTGTTTTAAACCTTTTGGGGTTCTTAAGCAAACAGTAGTAAGAGAGCGGGCTCCGCTTACACCTTCGGCCATCCCGAAAGGGTCCCATGTACCTTATAAAGATAGACACGGTTTAGGGTTTAGGGTTTAGGGTTTAGGGTTTAGGGTTTCGGGTTTAGGGTTTAGGGTTTAGGGCCCCAACAGCTCGATATAGGAGGTGCTGATTTAAGGCCCAGGTATTCCCTATTTAGGTACATGGACTCCTTACATGAACCTAAATCCTAAACCTTAAACCCTAAACCCTCATAACCTTAAACCCTATTTAGGTACATGGACCCTTAGGGTATGAAGAACTGTGCCCCTCAGTCATGGACGCAGGAATCGCACAGCCCCGAGTTCAGCGCTTGGTTCTGACTAGCTCTGCAATTTACCGGGGTGGAACCCCAAACCCTAAAACCCTAACCCCTCAACCCGAAACCCTAAACCATAGCCCCCTAGGAGTTTAATGTTCTGATGTCTTTTCGGCCCTTCTAAATCGTGAATGTGCAGTGGGGTTGATGGGTCGATCCTCTCAATCACGAGCCTTGTTACACTCGCTTAAGTCTTCATGAGTTTCTATGCTGTCCATTCCTTATTAGAGTTTAGAGTCCCCAACATTCAGTCCCATCCCTCCCACAGATCCGGCTGTCGCACCCTCAAACACAACCTCCACCCTAGTTAAACCCAAACACACCCAAACCCCAAGTTCAGTTTGCTAGTTTACCCCAAGCCCGGACCCCCGAGCCCCAAACCCAAGCTAAGCTCTAACATCTTACCTGAGCCTTACTTTGCAGCTCTGTGGTTTAGGGTTTAGGGTTTAGGGTTTAGGGTTTAGGGTTTAGGGTTTAGGGTTTAGGGTTTAGGGGGCTCTGCTGAGGCTGGAGCAGCGCTTCATTCTAGCATGGGGCGCGAACGCCAACCGGCAATGCCTCTCTGATGAGGCCTGGGGCGGGTAACGCCCTGCTTGAAACCGCATACAGCGCTTTAGGGTTTAGGGTTTAGGGTTTAAGGGGTTTTGGGGGTTTATAGTTTGTAGGGTTGACGGGGTTGAGGGTTCAGGGAAACGAGCCCAAGCCTCAACCCTGATCTTCTGCCACTCCGTACGCGAAAGCCGTTTTGACCTAATAAGTAGGGTCAATAAGTTAGGTTCTGAGGCTTATTTTGGGGGGGGTTTCTACGGGATACGAAGTAGACTTACTAAGTCAAAAGAGTTTCCAAGTAGACTGAATGCTGGTGTTAATGGATTAGGGGCCCATGTAGTTAGAATTGGCATATTTGTGTAGAGACGTGCCTCCTGCAGGTACAGATAGTATGTAGGGGTTTATGCGCGAACATTATGCCCAATAATCTAGCCTTCGAGTATTGACTGTAGTATGGATTCGGGGGAACACTTTGCAGAACTTCTCGAGGTGGCTGCGTCTGGTAGCAGTTTGCGCAGTTTACTTATTCACCTCAACCCAGAATAGTTGGTGACTGCTATATGCGCCTCTGCCCCCGCCCGCCCAACCCCCCGCGCCCCCCCCCCAAAAAAAAAATGAAAATCGAACCCTCTAAAAAACCCTAAGCCGCAAACAACCTGAGCAACCTAAAGCCTAAGCCCTAATCCCTAAGCCGTTCACAACACCTCTAAACCCCGATCCCTGAACCCTATAAACCCTGAACCCTGAACCCTAAACCCTAAACCCTAAACCCTAAACCCTAAACCCTAAACCCTAAACCCTAAACCCTAAACCCTAAACCCTAAACCCTAAACCCTAAACCCTTCACCCTACACCCTAAACCCTACACCCTAAACCCTAAACCCTAAACCCTAAACCCTAAACCCTAAACCCTAAACCCTAAACCCTAAACCCTAAACCCTAAACCCTAAACCCTAAACCCTAAGCCGGTGCCAGGCAAGGGTGGTGCCCTTTCCTCGGCACGTGCCCTTCCATCGGCCCCTTCGATCTCTGGCTGCAGGTGCCCTCCTCTCTTGTCGGCGAAAGGGGTTTAGGGTTTAGGGTTTAGGGTTAGGGATTAGGGTACCCTAAACCCGACCAACTTTAGTCATCCATAAAGTGTGGCTGACTTCTAGAGGGTTCTCACAGGTACCCGAAAAAGGACCGTAACTTGGGGATGTTTGACAGATGGAAGTTGTCAACTTGCTGACTACTTTTCTGGGCGGGGGAGGGTTGGGGTTTTCGGGCCTTAGGTTCCAGGTTGGGATGTTCCCCCTTATACTAACAGTCCTGCGTAGGGATAATTGTACCCCTTAGCACAGTCCTTCTTAAGGACCCCAAATACTAGCGGTCCTTCATAGGGATTATTGTACCCCCGAAAACAATCCTTCGTCTTAAGGACCCCTTATACTAGCAGTCCTCCATAGGGATTATTGTACCCCCGATTACAGTCCTTCTTAAGGACCCCTTATACTGGAAGTCCTTCAGAGGGATTATAGTACCCCCTATTACAATCCTTCTTCAGGACCCCTCATATTAACAGTCCTTCATAGGGATTATAGTACCCCCCTACTACAATCCTTCTTAAGGACCCCTCATATGAACAGTCCTTCACAGGGATGTAGCACCCCCTAATTCTTACAATCCTTCTTAAAGGCTCTGTTAAGGACTGTTAGACTAAGGGGCAACATCCCAAGTCCCAGGTTCTGACTCAGCTTGCTACTGGAGACACGCTAGGAAGGCCTCTAAGGCTTGAGCTCGAAGCCCTCGAAGCCCTAAGCCCGAAGCCCTGAACCCTAAACCCTAAACCCTAAACACTAAACCCTAAACCCTGAACCCTGAACCCTGAACCCTGAACCCTAGAAGAGCCTAAGCCCTGAACTCTAACCCCTCCAAGACCCTAAGCCCTAAGCCCTCAACCCTACTTGGAGGTTCATGGTACTCATTAACCAATTATGTACTTGCAACCCACATATAGCCCCTTAAGTGAACTAATGGGGCTAAAATTGGGTTATAAGTACAGTTGGTTTTGGGTAAATAAGTACCCTGAACCTCCAAGTATGGCCCCAAACCCTGAAAAGACGCGACTCCTAAACCCTAAACCCTAAACCCTGAACCCTGAACCCTGAACCCTAAACCCTGAACCCTGAACCCTGAACCCTGAACCCTAAACCCTAAACCCTAAACCCCGATGCAAGGCTGGGAAGGGTCCTTGGTGGTTGATGCGGATGGCAGCCGGGTGGCCGAGCTCGCCCTTTTTGCAGCTGGCAAGTTTGCGAGATGATGGTCCCTTGCTCGGGCCCCTTCCAACCCTAAGCCCTAAACCCTAAACCCTAAGCCCTAAATGATCTGCGGGGAAGGGACCACGATTTAGGCGACATCGATGCCACCTTGGGTTTAGGGTTTAGGGTTTAGGGTTTAGGGTTTAGGGTTTAGGGTTTAGGGTTTAGGGTTTAGGGTTTAGG